AGGGGGCACAGGACAGCATCCAGGCGGGGGTTGAAGATCTCCAGAGAAGGAGACTCCACAGCCCCCCTGGGCAGCCTGGGCCAGGGCTCGGGCACCCTCCCAGGCAAGAAGTTCTTCCTCCCGTTCACCTGGAACCTCTTCTGCTTCAGGCTGTGCCCATGGCCCCTTGGCCTGGCGCTGGGCACCACTGGGAAGAGTCTGGCTGCGTCCCCGTGCCCCCCACCCTTGAGAGAGTTGTATCTCAAGGGGCTGGGGGAGCTGAAAGGGCTTTTCCAACCCAAACCATTCCATGATTCCATGATTCCATGAGATGCTGAAAATGTGTGAAGACACTGGAAGTGCGTGAATGTTTTCACCATGAACCACTGAGGTCTGAAGGAGCTGCAAGGCACCACCCAGGATGGCCCGCCACGCCTGGAGGACCCGGGGAAGGGATTGGAGAAGCCCAACGATGCGAATGAGAACGGCCACACGTACCCAGCACCTGCCCTGCTCGATCGCCGTAAATCAGCGGTTTGCACTTAGGGGGTGACCCGAGGCAGGCGGTCACCAAACATGTGGTTTGTCCTGGCAGAGCCACAAACTGCTCGCTATCCGAGGCGCGCTGGGCTCTATGGGTGTGTAGGAAGGTGCTGATCACACACTGGTGTTTCTGCTGCTGCTGAGCAGCGCTCACACAACATCAAGGCTGCGTCTCCAACATTCCCAAACCACCACCAGGGGGCTGGGGAACCCAAGATGTAACAAATCCAAGATGTAAGGAATCCGGGGCGTAAGGAATCTGAGGCATAAGGAGACTGAGGTGTAACGAAGCCAAGGCGTAACGAATCCAAGGCATAACGAATCCAAGATGTAACAAATCCAAGATGTAAGGAATCCAAGACGTAAGGAACCCAAGGCATAAGGAATCCAAGGCATAAGGAATCCAAGGCATAAGGATTCCAAGGCCTAAGGACTCCAAGGCATAAAGAATCCAAGATGTAATGAATCCAAGATGTAACGAATCCAAGGCGTAACGAATCCAAGGCGTAAGGAATCCAAGGCGTAAGGAATCCAAGGCGTAACAACTCCAAGGCGTAACAACTCCAAGGTGTAACGACTCCAAGGCATAACGAATCCAAGGCGTAACGAATCCAAGATGTAACGAATCCAAGGCATAAGGAATCCAAGGCATACGAATTTAATTTGAACCCTAACGACTCTTGTTACTCAACATGGACGGACGTCATTAATTTCTCTTGTTTACCGCCCGCAGAGGGTTGTACAACAGGAAGGGGTGACTCAACTCGTGCGGCGCTGCCGATGGGCGAAACAAACCCTTCTGCTGTTGAAAGCAGCTACCGTCAGGGGGCG